AATGACAACGACAATGACAACGACGACAATGACAATGATGACAACGACGACAATGACAATGATGACAACGACGACAATGACAACGACGACAATGACAATGATGACAACGACAATGACAACGACGACAATGACGACGACAATGACAACGACGACAATGACAACGACAATGACGACAATGACAATGATGACAACGACGACAATAACAATGACGACAATAACAATGACGACAATGACAACAACGACAATGATGACAACGACGACAATGACAATGATGACAATGACGACAATAACAATGACGACAATGACAACGACAATGATGACAACGACAATGACGACGAGGACAATGACAATGACGACAACGACGACAATGACAATGATGACAACGACAATGATGACAACGACAATGACGACGACAATGATGACAACGACGACAATGACAATGATGACAATGACGACAATAACAATGACGACAATGACAACGACAATGATGACAACGACGACAATGACAACGACGATAATGACAACGACAATGATGACAAAGACAATGATGACAACGACAATGACAACGACGACAATGACAACGACGACAACGACAATGATGACGACGACAATGACAACTACTACAATGACGACAATGATGACAACGACAATGATGACAACGACAATGACAACGACAATGACAACGACAATGACAACGACAATGATGACAACGACGACAATAACAATGACGACAATAACAATGACGACAATGACAACAACGACAATGATGACAACGATGACAATGACAACAATGTCAATGACGACAATAACAATGACGACAATGACAACGACAATGATGACAACGACAATGACGACGAGGACAATGACAAAGACGACAACGACGACAATGACAATGATGACAACGACAATGATGACAACGACAATGACGACGACAATGATGACAACGACGACAATGACAACGATGACAATGACGACAATAACAATGACGACAATGACAACGACAATGATGACAACGACGACAATGACAATGATGACAACGACGACAATAACAATGACGACAATGACAACGACAATGATGACAACGACAATGACGACGAGGACAATGACAATGACGACAACGACGACAATGACAATGATGACAACGACAATGATGACAACGACAATGACGACGACAATGATGACAACGACGACAATGACAACGATGACAATGACGACAATAACAATGACGACAATGACAACGACAATGATGACAACGACGAAAATGACAACGACGACAATGACAATGACAACAATGACAACGATAATGACAATGACAATGATGACAACGACGACAATGACAACGACGAGAATGACAACGACAATGATGACAACTACAATGACAACGACAATGACGACAATGACAACGACAATGATGACAACGACGACAACGACAACGACGACAATGACAACGACAACGATGACAACGACAATGACAACGACGACAATGACAACGACAATGACAACGACAATGATGACAACGACAATGACGACGAGGACAATGACGACAATAACAATGACGACAATGACAACGACAATGATGACAACGACAATGACGACGAGGACAATGACAATGACGACAACGACGACAATGACAATGACGACAACGACAATGATGACAATGACAATAACAACGACAATTATGACAACGACGACAACGACGACAATGACAATGACGACAATGACAAAGACAATGATGACAACGACGACAATGACAACAATGACAACGACAATGACAACGACAATGATGACAACGACGACAATGACAACGACGAGAATGACAACAATGACAACGACAATGATGACAACGACGACAATGACAACGACGAGAATGACAACGACAATGATGACAACTACAATGACAATGACGACAATGACAACGACAATGATGACAACGACGACAACGACAACAACGACATTGACAATGATGACAAATACAATGACAACGACGACAATGACAACGACAATGACAACGACAATGATGACAATGACGACAATGACAACGACGACAATGACAATGACAACGACGACAATCACAATGACGACAATGACGACAATGACAACGACAATGACAATGACGACAATGACAACGACAATGAATGACAACAACCACAATGACAACGACGACAATGACAATGACGACAATGACAACGACAATGATGACAACGACAATGATGACAACGACAATGATGACAACTACAATGACAACGACAATGATGACAACGACGACAAGGACGACAATGACAACGACAATGATGACAAATACAATGACAACGACGACAATGACAACGACAATGACAATGATGACAACGACGACAATGACAATGACGACAATGACAATGACAACGACGACAATCACAATGACGACAATGACAACGACAATGACAATGACAATGACGACAATGACAACGACAATGAATGACAACAACGACAATGACAACGATGACAATGACAACGACGACAATGACAACGACAATGATGACAACGACGACAATGACAACAATGACAACGACAATGACAACGACAATGACGAAAATGACAACGACAATGATGACAACGACGACAATGACAACGACGACAATGACAATGACAATGATGACAACGACAATGACAATGACAATGACGACAATGACAATGACGACAATGACAACGACAATGATGACAACGACAATGATGACAACGACAATGATGACAACTACAATGACAACGACAATGATGACAACGACGACAAGGACGACAATGACAACGACAATGATGACAAATACAATGACAACGACGACAATGACAACGACAATGACACCGACAATGATGACAACGACGACAATGACAACGACGACAATGACAATGACAACGACGACAATCACAATGACGACAATGACGACAATGACAACGACAATGACAATGACGACAATGACAACGACAATGAATGACAACAACGACAATGACAACGACGACAATGACAACGACGACAATGACAACGACAATGATGACAACGACGACAATGACAACAATGACAACGACAATGACAACGACAATGACGACAATGACAACGACAATGATGACAACGACGACAATGACAACGACGACAATGACAATGACAATGATGACAACGACAATGACAATGACGACAACGACAATGATGACAACGACAATGATGACGACGACAATGATGACAACGACAATGACAACGACGATAATGACAACGACGACAATGACAATGACGACAATGACAACGACAATGACAACGACGACGATGACAACGATGACGATGACAATGATAACAATGACAACGACGACAATGATGACAATGACAATGACAACGACGACGATGACAATGATGACAACGACAATGACGACAATGACAATGACGATAACGACGATGATAATGACGACAAAGACAATGACGACAAAGACAATGACGATAACTACAATTACGACGGTGACGACGACAATGACAACGACAATGATGACAACGACAATGACAACGAAAACGACAATGACGACAATGACAACGAAAACGACAATGACGACAATGACAATGATGACAACGACAATGATGACGACGACAATGATAACGACGACAATGACAACGACAATGATGACAACGACGACAATGACAACGACAATGACAACGACAACGACAATGACGACAATGACAATGACAATGATGACAACGACGACAATGACAACGACAATGATGACAACGATAATGACAACGACGACAATGACAACGACAATGATGACAATGACAATGACGACAATGACAACGACGACAATGCAACGACGACAATGACGACGACAATGACAACGACGACAATGACAACGACGACGATGACAATGACAATGATGACAACGACAATGACAACGACAATGACAACGACGACAATGACAACGACGACGATGACAATGACAATGATGACAACGACAATGACAATGACGACAATGACAATGATGACGACGACAATGACAACGACGACAATGACAATGACAATGATGACGCCGACAATGACAACGACAATGATGACGCCGACAATGACAACGACGACAAGGACAACGACAATGATGACAACGACAACGACAATGACAACGACAATGACAACGACGACAATGACAACGACGACAACGACAATGATGACAACGACAATGACAACAACGACAATAACAATGATGACAACGACGACAATGACGACAATGACAACGATGACAACGATGACAATGATGACAACGACAATGACGACAATGACAACGACAATGACGATAACGACGATGACAATGACGACGATGACAATGACGACAAGGACAATGACGATAACGAAAATTACAACTGTGACGACGACAATGACAACAATGACGACAAAGACAACGACGACAACGACAATGATGACAACGACAATGACAACAATGACGACGATGACAATGACAATGACGACAACGACAATGACGACAATGACGACAAAGACAATGACAATGACGACAATGATGTAGACGACGTCGATGTCAATGACGACAATGACGACGATAAGGACGACGTCGACGACTACAATGACGACAACGACGACGACGCCGATGATGATGACGACAATGACCGCGACGATGATGACGACAACAATGACGATGGTAATGACGATGTCGACAACAATGACGACGTTGACGACAATGACGACGATGTTGACGACAACGTTGATGACAATGACGACAATGACGACGACAATGACGACGATGGTGACGATGACAATGACGATGATGACGACGGTGACAATGACAATGACGACAATGACGATGAGAACAATGATGATGACGACAATCACGATGACGACGAACGCGCGAGCGAGCATGGTGGGGTGAGTGAGTGCGAGTGTGAGCGATAGTGAGCGAGTGCGAGCGAGTGCGAGCGAGTGCGAGCGAGCGTGGGTGAGTGCGAGCGAGTGCGAGCGAGTGCGAGCGAGCGTGGGCGAGCAACTCACGTGCTTGCGGAAGAGCTCCGCGTGGGGGGCGAGCGCCGTGGGGTCGGCAGTGCGGATGAAGCTCATGACGTCGTCCACGCTCCACCCCGAGGGGTCGCGGCTCGTCCCCTCCGCGTCAGCGCCGGCCGCCACCAGCACTGAGCACGGCAAGCAGACAAAGGTCCCCCGCATAGCCTCAACGGACTTTTGGGGCAAGTGCTTTTAGCAGAGGGAATCTGCAGGTGCCGCAGCGTGCGTATGAGAGTGGGGAGCGATGGTGCAGCGGTTAGCGCTACGCTGCGCTATGAACCTGGCGACCCGGGTTGGATTCCTGCTCACGGCCAACACCGGTGACGATTATCTGAACCGGTCCTGGGCCTCCCCTAGGTCGACTCAGCCTTAAATGAGTACCTGGTGCAGTGTGCAAACATCGCCACTGGGGAGACAAAGGCGGTCGGGCGTGGTGCTGGCCACCCACCCCCTCGTGTACCGTTCCGGCCTTGATAGGTGCTTGCTAACAACACTTGCCCCTACAGTCTGTTAAGGCTATACGGGGGATCTTTGTCTTTGTATGAGAGTGCGAGGGAGCGAGTGAGAGAGACTGTGATTGAGTGAGTGTGATTGACTGTGAATGAGTGTGAGTGACACACGTGGGTCTGCGGGTGTCGCTGTGTGTGTATGAGAGTGTGAGAGCGAGAGTGAGTGAATGTGAGAGTGTGAGTAAGCAAGAGAGAGTCTGTGGGTGCCGCTGTGTGTGTATGAGTGTGAGTGAGTGAGCGAGCGAGCGAGAGTGACGCACGTGAGAGTCTGCGGGTGCCGCTGGTGCTCGAGGAGGAGGAGGAGCGTCGCCCCGCTGCATTCTGGGAGGGCGAGCACGGGCTGCCACGGCCGCCCTCAAACTGTCCTCCCGAGCCTGCAACACAACAACATAACAACACAACAACACTGGGTGGCACAACGCAGGGTGACGTAACACACGGTGAAGTAACACAGGATGACACAATGTGCCACAATATACGTTGACACAAAGTGACACGGCACAGTGTGACACAAAGTGACGTAACAGGACACAACACGCCACACGGTGACACATCACGGGGTGGTTGAGCGTCTGGGTCAAGTGAGTGGGTGAGCAAGTGAATGGGTTGGTTAGTGTGTGAGGGACTGTGTAGGTTAGTGAATGGGCGAGTGAGCGTGTGGGTAAGTGAGTGACTGGGTGGGTTGGTGACTGTGTAGGTAGTGAATGGGCAAGTGAGCGTGTGGGTGAGTGACTGGGTGGGTTGGTGGCTGTGTAGGTTAGTAAATGGGCGAGTGAGCATGTGGGTGAGTGACTGGGTGGGTTGGTGATTGTAGGTAGTGAATGGGCGAGTGAGCGTGTGGGTGGGTGAGTGAGTGACTGGGTGGATTGGTGACTGGGTGGGTTGGTGACTGTGTATGTTAGTGAATGGGCGAGTGGGCGAGTGAGCGTGTGGGTGAGTGAGTGACTGGGTGGGTTGGTGACTGTGTAGGTTAGTAAATGGGCGAGTGCGCGTGTGGGTAAGTGAGTGACTGGGTGAGTTGGTGACTGTGTAGGTAGTGAATGGGCGAGTGAGCGTGTGGGTGAGTGAAGGGTGGGTTGGTGACTGTGTAGGTAGTGAATGGGCGAGTGAGCGTGTGGGTGGGTGAGTGACTGGGTGGGTTGGTGACTGTAGGTAGTGAATGGGCGAGCGAGCGTGTGGGTGAGTGACTGGGTGGGTTGGTGACTGTGTAGGTTAGTGAAAAGTCAAGTGAGCGTGTGGGTGAGTGAGTGGGTGGGTTGGTGACTGTGTAGGTTAGTGAATGGGCGAGTGAGCGTGTGGGTGAGTGGTTAGTGAATGGGCGAGTGAGCGTGTGGGTGAGTGAGTGACCGGGATAGTTCAGCGATTAAGCCGGACTACGGCCGCCTTCCTTCAATGACGATCGCCCTGCCCTGCAGGAACCGCCCTCAATAATATAACAACCACCACCAACACAACAATTCAGTTTTTATTAAATCTCATCGGTCACCTGACCCGGACGAGCCCTGCCGGGTCAGCTTGCCTCCATCCCGCAGGAGGAACCCTTCCTCTCGCCTCCGCGTCGCCAGGTGCAGCTGCTGCCGGTGCTGATGATGGTGCTGATGACGGTGGTGCTGCTGCTGCTGCTGACGGTGGAGCTGCTGCTGCAGGTGGTGGTGGTGGTGGTGCCGTGGAAGGAACTGCCTCTGCAGGAGGCGAGGGACGTCTAGCGAGGAGGGAGGCGCGGGGCGCCGCCGCGGGGCCTGCAGCACGGCCAGGGCGTTGAGGGCCGAGTCCTGCGTCTCCAACGAGGGCCGCTGCAGGCTGTCGCCCGTGAGGCCCTCGGCCACGCGCGGCTCTCCTGGAGGTGGTGGGTGCGGGATGGGGGGAAATAGCGACACGGGGGCAAGATGTTAACTACCTCGCCTGGTATGCAGGAGGTTCGTGGGTCCGATCCATACTCTGACACCTGCTGTACATTTGGAGTTGGCGTCTCTCTCTCATCATCATCACGGTGGCTAGGAGATGTTAACTACCTCGCCTGGTATACAGGAGGTTCGTGGGTCCGATCCATACCCTGATACCTGCTGTACATTTGGAGTTGGCATCTCTCTCTCATCATCATCACGGTGGCTAGGAGATGTTAACTACCTCGCCTGGTATACAGGAGGTTCGTGGGTTCGATCCCCATCCTGACGCCTGCTGCTGTATATTTGGAGCTTGCGTGTCTCTCTCTCCCTGCGGTCACATCTTGGAATAATTCGCTCAGCGGCGTATTTGGCTGCTATAAATTTCCCACGCGATGATGAGCTACTTCGTTGAGCTATCGTTAGGTGTGGTCAGGTCACTTTTGAAGAAGCGCTACATAGTTCAGGTGGGCCTTACCTAGAAAAATAAACAGAGTAAGAAAAAAAAGTTAATTCTGGCCACTCCTTGTCCGGTATACAGAAGGTCGTGGGTTCGATCCCAACCTTCAAGTGGGATTTTGTCTCGGGGTCCTGTAGTTTTTCCCTCCAAGTTAAAAATCAACGTCACACATTCAGAGCATTTTTGCCTGCTATCAATTTTCTACTTCAGCCACTTTGGTGAGCTATCGTCTGTGGCTTTCCACTACCGGAAGGAAGAGCGCTCGTTGCAGTGAGCGTTGCATGTCTGCCTACACATACACGCATGCATTCTTACACACACACGAAAAAAATCCCCACATAGCCTAAACACAAACACACGTGCCTACACGCACACACGCGCATTCCTAAACGCACACACGCATGTGACGAACGCCCGCTGGCAGGAGGTCACGGGACAGACCCAGCAGGTGTCATGGGTCGGCTGACTGAGATGACTGGCTGATGCACCACCTGTGCCAACTTGCTGAGCTTTAAGCCACTCGGGCGCTCCGCTCGTTGTTGTGAGCGTCGCTCCTCCGCCCTCCGTTGCTGTTGGAGGGCGACTGCCTCCAGCTGCCCAGGAGCAGCGTCCTTCACGAGCCTCCTCCACAGAGGCCGATCTTGACACCGCTGGTACCATCATGCCTACGCACACACACACTCGCACATGTACGAACCCACGCGCGCACGCACCTTCGGAAGGCAGGTGTTGGAGTGGCCGAGGCCGCTTTGGGGAGAGCGGGGAGCTGAACGGCTCCTGTGACGGACGCTTGATCCCCCGGGCCAGGTCAACGTCGTCACGACCTACAAATACAAAGATCACCCGTATAGCGTCGACAAGCCTGCTGGGGAAAGTTCCGCTAGCGAGAACCTACGAAGGGGGGGGGGGGGTGCTCACTTGAGGCCGAGTCGACTTAGGGGAGGCCCCGGACAGCTTCAGATATTCGCCATCGGTGTTGGTGGCTGTGAGCAGAAATCGAACTCGGGTCGTCTGGTCCGTAGCGTAGCGTGGCGCTAACCACTGCGCTACTGCTCCCCATAGCCATTCGCCACTAAGTGGCAGTGACGTCACCACGGCGACTGTGCCAGGCCAGGTGAGGTGCACGTTGAGGCCCACACAGGTACGTACACAAACGCACGCTAACAACTAACGCATCCAATAACCAAACCCTACTTCGACTCAAACCGTGCCAAAAACCTAACACCCGGACCCCCTTTCACTCATCCTAACCCTACCCTAACCCAACCATAACCATAAACCCACCTTCACAGAACCCTAACTCAAGCCTAACCCCATCTTAACCTTAATCCTATCCTAAGCTTATCAAAACCTTACCGTAACCTCACCGTAACCCCACCGTAGAAACATGCGTCTGGAGCATTTGGCTGCTATAAATTTCCACACGATGACGACGACGATGACGATGATGATAAGCCCACCTCGTTGAGCAAGCATTTGCGATGGCCACTTCCCGAAATAAAAGAGAGCTACACAGCAGCTCGGTGGACCTTACCTGGTAAAATAAAAACAGCTGAGTAACTTTACTGTAACCTCACCGTGACTCGACTCAAACCGTCACCCTTTAATAATTAGAATGATCATAACACCCAGCTCCAACCCGACCACAACCTCCGGAGTAGACGTGTGGAGGGGGAGGAGCGTGGATATACGACGGCGAGGATGGCGACAACGACGACGATGACAATCAGAATCTTTGTACTGGAGGAATCCGATGAGCTATGAGGCTCTTTGTTTCACAGATGTTCAGTCGGGGCACGGGGTCAGAGAGTTGCAACAGGAAACGATGCAAAAGCACGATAGGAGTGAAAAGTACAAGGGTAAACAAAGCACTTGAAAAGCCATACAAATAAAACTAAACTATGTTTTATCTGACCAGGTAAAACCCACTGAGGTCTGAACTTATTTTTCACAAGCGACCTGGCCACGAATGATAATAGCTCAGCAAAGCAGCTTAATCATCACGTGGAAATGTGACAGTGATGATGATGATGATGCCGGTGATGACGATGCCGGTGATGACGATGCCGGTGATGACGATGCGGGTGATGACGATGCCGGTGATGACGATGCGGGTGATGACGATGCCGGTGATGACGATGCCGACTGTGATGATGATGATGCTGGTGATGATGACGGTGATGCCGGTGATGCCAACGATGATGATGATGATGATGATGCCCGCCGGTGACGCCCGCCGGCGGTACCTGGCAGCGCGTTGCCGCTGGCGAGGCATGCCGGCTGGCTGCTCAGGAGGTTGTCGCACTCCAGCGAGTGGCAGAGCTTCTCCAGGAAGCGCAGCACGAAGGAGGCGCTGCGAACCGACGGCAGGCGGAGCGAGCGCACCTCGCCGTCGTACCGGGCTGCTCACGCGCCAACAACAGACAAAGATACCCCGGGTAGCCTCAGCAGACTGTTGGGGCAAGTGCTGTTAGCGAGCGGCGCCTGTGAAGGCCGGCACGGCACACGCGGGGGGTGGGTGGCCAGCACCACGCCCGGCCGCCTTTGTCTCCCCAGTGGTGATGGTTAATACACACCGCACCGGCCAGCACCAGTGGCGATTCCCTGAACTGGTGCTGGGCCTCCCCTAGGTCGACTCAGCCTCAAATGAGTACCTGGTGCGGTGTGTCAACATCGCCACTGGGGGAGAAAGGCGGCCGGGCGTGGTGCTGGCCACCCACCCGCTCCGTCTGCCGTTCCGGCCTTCATAGGTGCTCGCTAACAGCACTTTCCCCAACAGTCTGTTAAGGCTATAACGGGGATCTTTGTCTTTGTGGTGTGTGTACATATGTACAAGTGTGTGTGTGTCTACATGTGCGTGTGTATACGTGCGGGAATGTGCGCGTGTATGCGTGTATGCGTGTATGCGTGTATGCGTGTATGCGTGTATGCGTGTATGCGTGTATGCGTGTATGCGTGTATGCGTGTATGCGTGTATGCGTGTGAGCTCGCGCGTACTGGTGACGAAGGTTGGGCAGGGTGGCCAGCACGTGTGGCGAGCGCAGTCCACGTGTGTGAGTGCGTACTTGAGTGTGTGTAAGTGTGTGTAAGTGTGTGTAAGTGTGTAAGTATGTGTAAGTGGGTGCGGTCAAGGGATGGCTCCCTATTGCTCAACCACGTTATGTATGCTGATGATTTGGTAATAGCTGCTCAGTCAGAGGAGGAGTTGGAGACGCTGCTGCTGAGACTGGAGCGTGCCACTAAGAGGTGGGGCCTTACCATCTGCCCCACCAAAACTAAGCACCTGCCTGGGTATTTTGTACCATCGGACACTCCACCCCCACAACTCCCAATCGGTGATGGGGCAGTTGTGGAGAGAGTGGAGAGTTTCCCATACCTGGGCAGTGTGCTTATGACTGGCTCCAGTTTAACAGCAGAGGTCTCACTCCGAATCAGTCGAGCGGCAATATCTTTTCATCGGTTGCGTAACGCTGTGTGGAAGCTACCTGGTCTGTCACTCCGCACTAAGCTTCAGGTCTTCTCGGCCACAGTCATTCCCTCCCTTCTCTACGCTTGCGAAACGTGGACCCCCCTAATGGAACATCTTCGTCGGTTAGAAACATTTAGGCTGGCCTGCCTACGATCCATCCTGGGTTTAACCAGACTGGATTGTGTGAGGAGCTCACAAATCCTTGAAAGATCTGGGCAGGGTCCCATCGGTGAGCTCCTCCGGCAGGCAAGGCTGCGATGGCTGGGTCATGTAGCCCGCATGCCCAGCCACCGCATGCCGAAACAGCTTTTGTTTGGCCGGATTGGGGGGCTAAGCGGGCGCGGCACGGGCTAGAGAAGAGATGGAGTGATGTGGTACAGGAGGACGTGGAGCTGAGTGGACTTGCCGATGACTGGTACCAGCGGTGTCAAGATCAGCCTCTGTGGAGGAGGCTCGTGAAGGACGCTACTGGGCAGTTGGAGGCAGTCGCCCTCCAACAACAACAGAGGGCGGAGGAGCGACGCTCAGAACAACGAGCGGAGCGCCGGGTGGCCAAAGCACAGCAGGTTGGCACAGTAGGGGGCACAGGTGGTGCATCAGCCAGTCGTCTCAGTCAGTCGACCCGTGGCACCTGGGTCTGCCCCGTGACCTCCTGCCAGCGGGCGTTCGACACTTCACGTGGCCTCAGGGTGCACATAGCCTGGCACAAGCGTCGTGGTGACGTCACCACCACTTAGTGGCGAATGGCGGTTGTTGTTGTTGTAAGTGTGTGTAAGTGTGTGTGTATGCGTGCGCGCTACGAACCTGGCGCTTCGAGTTCGATTCCCGTTCACGGCCAACACCAGCGACCGTTATCTGAACTGGTCCTGGGTATCCCCTAGGTCGACTTGGCCTCAAATAACTATCTGGTGTGGGTGTGTAAACATCACCACTGGGGAGACAAAGGCGGCCGGGCGTAGTGTTGGCCACCCACCCCCCTCCTCGTGTACCGTGCCAGCCTTCACAGGTGCTCGTTGAAAGCACTTGCCCCAACAGCCACGCAGGGGATCTTTGTCTTTGTGTGCGTACGTGCGTGCGCGCGCGCGAGCGTGCGTGCGTACCGGTGACGATGGTGTCGCCGTCCCCGTTGGGTAGCCTGGCCAGCACGTGCGGCGGGTGGCGAGCGCAGTCCACGCAGGCCTGCACCGCCAGCTGCAGCACCGCCGGCGCCGCGCCGGGGCCGAAGTGCTCGGGCAGCAGCTGCACCTTGCGCCGGTCGAGGAAGGGGCCCGCGCCGGCGCGCTTGTTCACGTACACGCACACTGCGCAGCGCACGCACAGAGAGAGAGATCCACACGTGTAGCCTCAACAGACTGTTGGGGGCAAGTGCCGTTAGCGAGCGGCACCTGCGAAGGACGGCACGGTGGCACACGAGGGGGTGGGTGGCCAGCAAGCACGCGCACGCACGCACGCACACACACCGCACTCGAGCACACACGCACAAAGACAAAGATCCCCCGTATAGCCTTAACAGACTGTTGGGACAAGTGCTTTTAGCGAGTAGCGCCTGTAAAGGCTGGAACGGCACAAGAGGGGGGTCCGGTGGGTGGCCAGCAACACGCCCGGCCGCCTTTGTCACCCCGGTGACGATGTTTACACACCTCGCCAGCAACTTATTTGAGGTTGAATCAACCTAGGGGAGATCCAGGACCGGCAACACTTGCCCCAACAGTCTCACAGGCAATACAGGGGATATTTGCCTTTGAGTGCGAGTAACTGCGTGTGAGTGTGAACGAGTGCGAATGAGTGCGAGGGGGAGTGTGTGTATGCGAGTCAGTGAGCACGAGCGAGCGAGTGATTGTGTGCGAGTGGGAGTAAGTTAGTGTGTGCGAGTGTGAGTGAGTGAGCGATTGTGTGCGAGTGTGAGTGAGCGAATGTGTGCGAGTGTCAGCGAATGTGTGCGAGTATAAGAGAGCGGGTGATTGTGTGCGAGTGTGACGAGTGAGTGTGAGCGAGCGATTGTGTGCGAGTGTGATGAGTGTGTGCGAGTGTGAGTGAGCGAGTGTGTGGGCGAGTGTGAGCGAGCGACTGTGTGCGAGTGTGAGCGAGCGACTGTGTGCGAGTGTGAGCGAGCGACTGTGTGCCAGCGTGAGCGAGTGTGTGCGAGTGCGAGCGAGTGTGTGCGAGTGCGAGCGAGCGAGTGTGCGCGAGTGTGCGCGAGTGTGAGCGTGCGCGGAGGCCTCACCCGTGGAGAGGCCGGTCTGCATGGCGGAGGGGGCAGGCGTTCGGGCCGGGAGGCCCCTCACAAGGGACGGGCCCAGGGGGTCAGGCACCGAGGGTCCGGCGCCCCCTCCGCCGATGGCCAGAGGCCCGCACTGGGGGCCTGACACGGTCATGGCCGGCTGAGGAGTCCCACGCCTTCTCTGCACCCACCACGGACACGCAGAGACGCCGGCAGACGCCTGCTGCTGTATATTTGGAGTTTGCGTGTCTCTCATCATCATCACGGTGGCAAGGAGATGTTAACTACCTCACCTGGTATACAGGAGGTCGTGGGTTCGATCCCGACCCTGACGCCTGTTGTATATTTAGAGTTTGCGTGTCTCTGTCTCTCTCTCTCCCTCTGTGTGGTCACATTCTCTGGGCCCTCCGATTTTTTCCCCTCCACGATTCGAATCACGCGTTTGGGAGTATTTGTCTTCTGCTATACATTTTCACGTGATGATGATAAGCCACTTCCAAAAAAGAGCTACATAGCTCAGTGGCCCTTGGTGAAAGAAAAATTGTTCAGTTTAGTTTTTGAAGGCCGGCACAGCACACGAGGGGGGGTGGGGGCTGCCACCACCATCATGCCCGTCCACCTTTGTCTTCCCAGTGCTGACGTTTACACACCGCACCAGGTACTCATTTGAGGCCGAGTCGACCTCGGGTTACGCTTGGTGACCGATTAGGATATTCGCCACGGCCGGTTGTTGGCCGGGAATCGAACTGGGGTTGCCGGGTTCATAGCGCGGTGTCCTAACCGGTACGCAGCCGCTCGCTCGCCTTAGGGACATCAATACCCCCAACTCTCCCGGCCCTCCCCATGGACCCCCCCCACTCCCTTCGTCAAATCACACCTCAACCTCCACTCCCCACCACACCTCCCCTTCGGATCTCCCTCTCATCCTGTACCCCCTTCGCCCGCACCGGCTCCCTGCAGTCCACGGGGGAGACCCATCATCAACCCCCATCATCCCCCTACACCACCGGCACCCGTCACTGCCATCACCATCGCCCGGGCCACCACCACGGCCACCACCACGGCCACCACCGCGGCCACCACCACCGTCACCGCTGCCTCCACCATCACCGCCGCCACCATCACCACCCCCGTCACCGCGGCGTACCCGTGTCCCAGGCTTGGGCCCGCGCTTCTTGTTGTTGCTGCTGTGCAGCCCGCCGCGTACGGTGGCCCACAGCATCCCAGCACCACCACCGCCGCCGCCGCCGTGCAACGGTCGCTCCAGCGGCTTCGCCTTGTTGCGCGAGCCGGGGGGGCGGCCTGGTTTCCGGCGCTCCTTCACCACCTTGCTCCCCGGCAGCGCGGCGCCGCCCGAGTTGCCGGTGGCGGTGGCGGTGCCGCCGCCGCCGCCCGCCGTCGTCGTCGTTATCGCGGCGCCGCCGCCGCCGCTGTTGGTGACGGCGGAGGAGTTGCTACCTCTGCCCTGGACGGCCGCCGCCGCCACCGCCGAGTGCGATGCCGATGACGCCGACGCCGCCGCCGCCGTTGCCACCGTCGCCGCCGATGCCGCCGAAGCCGACGCCGACGCCGCCGCCGACGCCGCCGACACCGCCGACGCCGAGGTTGTGAGCGTGGTTGCCGGGAGAGCCGAGTCGCGGTTGTTGGCCGATGGCGGGGTGGCCGGGACGGTTTCTGTGCGCACGGAGCGGATCACCGGAGCCGGCTTCGGGGTGGGGGCCACTGTGGGGGGAATGGAGGGGAGGGGTTGTCACGTACAGTGCATGCGCGTATGCGCTACACTTCTTTCGCACCGTACGTAGCCAACCGTTCTGATCAAAGGTGCAGGGGAAGGACGACAACACGAAACACAATGCAGCGAGATCCCCGAGAACCACTGTTTTTCCAAGCCATGATTTCGAGCATCCCGCATGGTCCTGTGCACTTCGTTTTGCCAACCACAGCTTCGCGTAGCCACGGTTTGGTTTGTCTGCTACCCGCCGTTTCACATCTCCAGCCGTGCTCAAGCGTCCGCGCCACCGGAGGCGCATCAAGCGCGTCTCCCGGACATCCGCGAAAAAGAGCTTCACGGCTCATCAGATTCCTCCAGTATGAATCATTATTCTTGATCCTTCCGATTCCGGTCGGCGTACCCACGCTTGCCCGCGTACAGCACTCGTCCGCGTCGTTCAGTTGTAGTCGTCATCATCATCGTCGTCGTCGTCACCGTAGTCGTCATCATCGACGACGATGACGACATCGTCATCATCATCATTATTGTCGTCGTCATTATCACCGTCGTCGTCTTCATCGTCGTAATGTCATCGTCACTGTCAACGTTATCAATACCAAAGGTAATTAACAGTATTTTTGTTCACTATAAATATTAAAGGTATTTTTGTTCACGCAGGATACTCTACATTCTGCAGTACTGGACATGATTCTCAAGTTCAATGGGTGCATAGGATGCGGGAGTTAGGCTTCTATGAGAGCATTAGCCGTGGCCACGCGGAGCCCAACCCCCTATTTTCCACGAGCCTTTAGCCTTTGCCAACCACGGCTCTGCCCACCAGGGGGGTTTTCGGAAACCTAAACAACCCCCCCAAGGTAGGCGAGGGACTGCCTGTACGCATAAACAACGCACGTGCGAAATAAGCATAGAATATCATTTGTTTGGCTACGTCCACTGGCGGAGGGTTCTACAACACAGACATGGGGGAGGGTTCTACAACACAGACATGGCCAGAACGTGAAGCGGCCTAGCCACCCCCCAGACTCGATTACGTCTCGTGCCATCTGCTGAAAACATCCTGGGACGCGCGTTGTTAAGTTTAGACGTTGGAACGACGAAATCTAGCCCCCCCCCCCCCGACAAAGAACCCCCGTGTAGTCTTAACAGACTGACGGGGCAAGTGCTGTTAGCGAGCAGCACCTATGGAGGCCGGCACGGCACACGAGGGGGGGGGGGGGGGGCATGTTGCCAGCACCACGCCCGGCCGTCTTTATTTAACCAGTAGCGATGTTTACACATCGCACCAGGTACTCATTTGAGGCCGAGTCGACCTAGGGGGAGGCGCAGAACCGGTTCAGATAATCGTCACTGGTGTTGGCCGTGAGCGGGAATCGAAACAGTGTCGCCGGGTTCATAGCGCAGCGCGCTAACCGCTGCACTAAACACACAACAACCGCCGTTCGCCACTATAGCAGCGGTGATGTCACCACGGCGCTTTTTGCCAGGCTGTGTGCACTTTAAGGCCATCTCAAGTCTGGCAAAAACAAACCCCGACCTCCTTGATTGTGCCGGACGGTGACGCTGTGGTGGATGTGAGCAATGCCATGGGAGGGAAGGCCGATTCAATCGGCTGATCCCTTCATGGCGTTTGTAGCCACCATAGCGGCTAACGGGGGCTCTGGACGGGTGCAAGGGGCTGTCTAACCCCTCCACCTTCAATTTATCAACAACCGCCATTCGCCACTAAGTGGCGGTGACGTCACCACGACGCATGTGCCAGGCCATGTGTGCCTTGAGGCCACGTGAAGTGTCGAACGCCCGCTGGCAGGAGGTCCCGAGGCATACCCAGGTGCCACGGATCGACTGACTGAGATGACTGGCTGATGCACCACCTGTGCCCCCTACTGTGCCAACCTGCTGTGCTTTAGCCACCTGGCGCTCTGCTGTTGTTGTTGTTGGTGGTGATGGTGGCGATAGTGGCGGCGGCGGCGATGGTGAATGAGGTGATGGTGATGTCTTTCCAGGGGAGGGACCAGAGATCAAGAGAGAGAAATCTCACAAGCGGCGAGGAAGACACCCAAAATCGCAGAACTCGCCCAGCCGTGAGTCCACACAGCAATCACGCTCACACGGTCACCCACACAACAACAAACAACAATAACAACAACCGCCATTCGCCGCTAAGTGGCGGTGACGTCACCACGACGCTTGTGCCAGGCTATGTGCTCCTTGAGGCCACGTGAAGTGTCGAACGCCCGCTGGCAGGAGGTCACGGGGCAGACCCAGGTGCCACGGGTCGACTGACTGAGATGACTGGGACGACTGGCTGATGCACCACCTGTGCCCCCTACTGTGCCAACCTGCTGTGCTTTAGCCACCTGGCGCTCTGCTCGTTGTTCTGAGCGTCGCTCCTCCGCCCTCCGTTGTTGTTGGAGGGCCACTCCCTCCAACTGCCCAGAAGCGTCCTTCACGAGCCTCCTCCACAGAGCCCGATCTTGACACCGCTGGTACCAGTCATCGGCAAGTCCACTCAGGTCCACATCCTCCTGTACCACATGACTTCATCTCTTCTCTAGCCTGTGCCGCGCCCGTTCAGCCCCCTCGATACGGTCGAACAAAAGCTGTTTGGGCATGCGGTGATTAGGCATGCGGGCTACATGGCCCAGCCAACGCGGCCTTGCCTGCTGGAGGTGCTCACCGATGGGACTTTGTCCAGATCTTTCGAGGATTTGTGAGCTCTTCACACAATGCAGCCTGGTTAAACCCAGGATTGATCGTAGGCAGGCCAGCCGAAATGTTTCTAACCGGCGAAGATGGTCCATTAGGGGGGTCCACGTTTCGCAAGCGTAGATAAGGGAGGGAATGACCGTGGCCGAGAAGACCCGAAGCTTCGTGTGGAGCGACAGACCAGGTAGCTTCCACACAGCGTTCCGCAACCGATGAAAAGACTTTGCCGCTCGACTGATTCGGTGCGAGACCTCTGCTGTTAAACCGGAGCTGGTCATGAGCACACTGCCCAGGTAAGGAAAACTCTCCGCTCTCTCCACAACTGGTGGAGTGTCTGATGGTACAAAATACTCAGGCAGGTGCTTAGTTTTGGTGGGGCTCATAGCGAGGCCCCACAACACACACACACACAGACACACACAAAGACAAAAGGTGCCATAACGTAGCCACACACGGCACGCGCACCTTTGTGCCCTGGCGGTTGCAGGTTGTCTCCGGACGCCTGGCACCACCCGGCGGGGAAGATGTCCCTGCTGTCGTGCCGGCACCAGTAGTCGAAGGCGCCCCTCCAGCCGTCGAACGTCACGAAGATCTCATCGCCGCGCACCTCGCCCACGGTCGCCGGGCAGATTAGGTGCGGGTTCTTGCGATCGACCGCCTCCAGCTTCATGCCCACGCGGAACCCGTTCTGAGTCGGGCTCGGAGGCTCCTGGGGCAATGAACGGAGAGGGAGGAAGAGGGATGGAGGAGAGGAGAGAGAGGAGAGGAGAAAGGGGAGCGGGGGGAGAGGGGGGAGCGGGGGGAGAGGGGAGGGAGAAGCAGAGGGGAGGGAGGAGCAGAGGGGGGAGAAGGGGGAGAGAGAGGAGGGGGGAGAGAGAGGAGAGGGGAGAGAAATGAGAGGAGGATGATCTAACGCAGTGTCATCATCATCATCATGGGACTCAGTCATCACGGTCATAAACTAAACTATTTTTTATTTTACCAGGTAAGGCCCACTGAGCTATGTAGCTTTTTTTCAGAAGCAATATGGCTATCACAAACAGCAGCTCAAAGAAGTGGCTTATCATTATCATCGTGGGGAAATTTATAGCATCCGAATTCTCTAAACGCGTGACGTTGATTCTAAACGTGGAGGGAAAAACCGGAGGACCCGGAGAAAAATCCACCACACGACCACGGGGAGATTATGCAAAATGCGAATATATGGGCATCAGGGTTGGGATCGAACCCACGATCTTCTGTATACCGGCAGAGGTAGTTAACATCTCCTAGCCACCGTGGCGCCACTGCTAAGATGGGTGCCACGGTGGCTAGATGTTACCTACCTCGCCTGGACAAATTTTCACGTGATAAGCAACTTGGTCGAGCTATTGTTTGTGATAGCCAGGTCGCTTCTGAAAAATAGCCATACAGCTCATTGGGCCCTACCTGGTGAAATGAAAATGAAATTTTTAAAATAAAAATTTGCATCTTATTTTATATCTATGGAGCCCCTTAGCTCAAGGCACTTTATGTAGTTTAAAAGCGGTGACATTTAGAGTGGTTGAGCTGGCAAGGGAAGTGAAAAGGGTCGAGGAATGAGTGACCGTAACAGAGGGCACATGGCGGTCACGGAAGGGCAGCAGGGGAGGGACGGGACGGAGTGGAGGGGATGAGGAAGGGAATGGGCGATGGAGAAGAGGTGAGGCTTTGAGAGAGGAATGGAAGGAGATTAAGGAGGTGGATTGCAAAATTTACAGAGGCATTTCATAGTCTATAGGTAGTGTTGAGCATATGGACAGTGTTGAGTCTATAGGTGGCAGTGTTGAGTCTACGGGCAGTGTTGAGTCTATGGCAGTATTGAGTCTACGGCAGTATTGAGTCTACGGGCAGTGTTGAGTCTACGGGCAGTGTTGAGCCTGAGGGCAGTGTTGAGTCTACGGGCAGTATTGAGTCTACGGGCAGTATTGAGTCTACGGGCAGTGTTGAGTCTACGGGCAGTGTTGAGTCTATAGGTGGCAGTGTTGAGTCTACGGGCAGTTCTAGATTTAAAGCTTTCGTGACTGCAAGGATCCATACTCTTTGGTTCTATTCGGTAAAGTCACGTAGGTAAAAAATAAAAAAACAAAAATCGCGACGTTTCGGCCACAACACAAGCGGCCTTCATCAGGTGAAGGGACGAGACTGTCTCGAGGACAGCGCTGGAGTGAAACACAGCCACGCTCAGACCGCGACCTTTAAGCTGTGTGCGAGCAAACAAGGTGTCCTGACAAAGGAATTAGAAAATTATCATTTGATTGGCCGACTTAGCATGATGAACGGTGTAGAAGGTGGTGTACATGCGGGTGAACATGCCGGTTGGCGCGGGGGGGAGGGGGAGTTTACCTATTGATGGTGTGAAAAGGGAATTTTTAACTCCCCCTCCCCTCCGCGCCAACCGGCATGCTCACCCGCATGTACACCACCTCTACACCGTTCATCATGCTAAGTCGGCCAATCAAATGCTATTTTTTATGCTAATTCCTTTGTCAAGGCACCTTGATTCCTCTCACACAGCTTAAAGGTCGCGGTCTGAGCTTGGCTGTGTTCACTCCAGTGCTGTCCTCGAGACAGTCTGGTCCCTTCACCTGATGAAGGCCGCTTGTGTTGTGGCCGAAACGTCGTAATTTTTGTTGTTTTATATTTTACCTACGTGACTTTACCGAATAGAACCAAAGAGTATCTACGGGCAGTGTTGAGTCTACGGGCAAAGTTGAGTATATTGTGCGGTGTTGAGTCTACAGGCAGTGTTGAGTCTATGGTGCAGTGTTAGTCTATGGACAGTGTTGAGTCTATGGACAGTGTTGAGTCTATGGGTAGTGTTGAGTCTATGGGCAGTATTGAGTCTATGATGCAGTGTTCAGTCTATGGGCAGTGTTGAGTCTATGGGGAGTGTTGAGTCTATGGGGAGTGTTGAGTCTATGGGTAGTGTTGAGTCTATGGGCAGTGTTGAGTCGACTGGCAGTGTTGAGTCTATTGTGCGGTGTTGAGTCTACGGGCAGTGTTGAGTCTACGGGTAGTGTTGAGTCTATGGGCAGTATTGAGTCTATGGGCAGTGTTGAGTCTACGGGCAGTGTTGAGTCTACGGGCAGTGTTGAGTCGACTGGTAGTGTTGAGTCTATGGGTAGTATTGTGTCTATGGGCAGTGCTGAGTCTACTGGCAGTGTTGAGTCTACGGTGCAGTGCTGAGTCTATGGTGCTGCTTTGAGTCTATTGTGCGGTGTTGAGTCTACTGGCAGTGTTGAGTCTATGGGCAGTGTTGAGTCTATGGTGCGGTGTTGAGTCTACGGTGCAGTGTTGACTCTATGGGCAGTGTTGAGTCTATGGTGCGGTGTTGAGTCTACGGTGCAGTGTTGACTCTATGGGCAGTGTTGAGTCTATGGTGCGGTGTTGAGTCTACGGTGCAGTGTTGACTCTATGGGCAGTGTTGAGTCTATGGTGCAGTGTTGAGTCTATGGTGCAGTGTTGAGTCTATGGGCAGTATTGAGTCTATGATGCAGTGTTGAGTCTATGGGCAGTGTTGAGTCTATGGTGCAGTGTTGACTCTATGGGCAGTGTTGAGTCTATGGTGCAGTGCTGAGTCTTATGGGGCAGTGTTGCAAGGACCGAACACGGGGGGGGGGGGACAGAGCACAGGGAGACAGAGACAGAGTGACGGAGACAGAAAAGCTTGGGGACAAAGGGGACGTGAAAGGAGATGAAGAGAGGCGAGACGACGAGGTGGGGACGGCAAGAAGGGCCACGGAGATAATTAATGGCTGGTGTTGGCAATTTGAAAGGCGGGCGGTGTATCCGAGTCGTGTGCAACGTAGGGACCGCGTCGTCTTGGTGTGTGGGGCCTGGGACTCCGTTTGCCGTTGTTTTGCTGCTTCGCCCAAGGCCTGGAAATTCATATCCCTATGCAATCTTTGAACTCACTAAGTTCGTAATTTCGTGATTTTCTCGCCAAACTCTTTCCTATACTTTCCACTCTCATCGGTGTTTTGCTGCATTGTTTGTTGGCGCAACTTGTTGACCCCCGTGTCCCCTTAGTGGACAACTGTGAAAAGAAGAGAGAGAGATAAAAGAGAAAAAAAAAAGACCCTAGCAGAATCGTCGGATCCCTCCCGGCTAAATAAAGCAGATCGTGATGATGCGAGGCTGTCATCGCGGTGTGGAGAGTTGGACTCCAGGACAAAGGGGGGTTTGGGGGCGGGTGGCGGGAGTCTCACCGGGTGGAATATCCGCCCAGGAGCCATCTCAGCGCCGTTCAGCGTCTTCAGCAGGAACATCGGCCACGAGGAGGCGTTCATGCGGAATCCTGAACGCGGAGAGAGCACGGACAAGCGTATAGCACGCGGAGAGTACAGCACGCGGAGAGTACAGCACGCAGAGCATACAGCACGCGGAGAGTACAGCACGCGGAGAGTACAGCACGGAGAGTACAGCAAGCAGAGAGTACAGCACGCGGAGAGTACAGCACGCGGAGAGTACAACACGCGGAGCATACAGCACGCAGAGCTTTGAGCTTGATGCAAGCGGAGTGTATAGTACGCGAAGCGTACATCACGCATACAGCACCTCTTCACTACTGCACCTAGCGGGTGAGAGATGAGGGGAGAGAGGGGGGGGGGGGGCGCCTTCGCGCCCCACCCCCCATATCCCTCACCCGCCATTGTCGTCATCACCCCCCCCCCCCCCCACCGGTTCGTACCTAGGGGGGGCTGCAGCATGCCCCCCGCGCGCTCGCAGGCCCCCACGGGCCGCAGCTCGGCCGAGTCGACGAGCCTCCAGAAGTCGTTGGCGTTGTCGGAGCCGTCGAGGCGCAGGCGCAGGCGCGAGCCGGTCACCGACACCACGCTCGCCACGCACACCGAGTTGGGGTTCCGAGGGTCCCGCGCCTCCAACTTCATGCCGCCCGCAAACTCGTTCCGCGGCGGGGAAGGACGCTGCCGTGGAGGGGGGCGGCGAAGTTGCGAGTGAGGGTCACCAGCGTCGTCCGTCATCGTCGTCGTCGTCGCTATCGTCACCCCCGTCGTCGTCGCTATCGTCACCCCCGTCGTCGTAACAACCGTCATCACCGTTACCATCGTCAAAGTCATCGCCTTCATCGTCACTGTTGTCACTGTTGTCGTCGTCATCACCTTCATCGTCATCACCTTCATCGTCATCATCATTACCATCGTCACTGTTGTCGTCATCACCGTCGTCATCACCGTCGTCATCACCGTCGTCATCACCGTCGTCATCACCGTCGTCATCACCGTTGTCGTCATCACCATCGTCACTGTTGTTGTCATCACCATCGTCATCACCGTCGTCATCACCATCGTCATCACCATCGTCACTGTTGTCGTCATCACCGTCATCATCACCGTCGTCATCACCGTCGTCATCACCGTCGTCATCACCATCGTCATCACCATCGTCACTGTCGTCATCACCGTTGTCGTCATCACCATCATCACTGTTGTCATCACCGTCGTCATCACCATCGTCATCACCGTCGTCATCACCGTCGTCATCACCGTCGTCGTCATCACCGTCGTCGTCATCACCGTCGTCGTCATCACCGTCGTCGTCATCACCGTCGTCGTCATCACCGTCGTCATCACCGTCGTCTTCACCGTCGTCGTCATCACCGTCGTCGTCATCACCGTCGTCGTCATCACCATCGTCACTGTTGTCGTCATCACCGTCGTCATCACCGTCGTCATCACCGTTGTCGTCATCACCGTTGTCGTCATCACCATCGTCACTGTTGTCGTCATCACCGTCGTCATCACCGTCGTCGTCATCACCGTCGTCATCACCGTTGTCATCATCACCGTTGTTGTCATCACCATCGTCATCACCGTCGTCATCACCGTCGTCATCACCGTCGTCATCACCGTCGTCATCACCGTCATCATCACCGTCGTCATCACCGTCGTCACTGTTGTCGTTATCACCGTCGTCGTCACCGTCATCACCATCGTGATCGTGAACGTCACCGTGGGCATCACCTTTGTCGTCACCGTGAACGTCACCGTGAACGTCACCGTGGGCATCACCACCGTTGCCACCGTTATCGTCACCATCATCACCTGTGCCCCCTACTGTGCCAACGTGCTACGTTTTATCCGCCCCCGGCGCTCCGCTCATTGTTGTTGTGAGCGTCGCTCCTCTGCCACTCCACTGTTGTTGAAACAAGTTCAATGTACATACACACGCGTGTGTGCGTGCGTGCGTACGTACGTACACACGCATGTGTGTGTGTGTGCGTGCGTATGTACACACGCGCGTGTGTGTGTCACGAGGTATGAACCTGCTTAAAGCAAGAAGGAGGAGCAGAAGTCCCCCCGGTCTCCTTGAGGTAGTCATCCCAGCTGAACCGATCTGCAAAGGCAAAGACACAGATTCTATTTTAAACTATGACACTAAACCATTTTAATTTCAAGGGGTAAGGGCCCCACCGAGCTGCTAAGTGGCTCTTTTGTAGAAGCAACCTAGCAAGCACAAATGATAAAGAAGTGCGCTTATCACGTGAAAATTTACAGCAGCAGACAGATACTCTGAACGCGTGACGTTGATTCTAAATGGAGGGGAAAAACCGGAGGACCAAGAGAAAAATCCACGCAACCATGGGGAGAGACACAAAAACTCCAAATATACAGCAGCACGCGTCATGGTCGAGATCGAACCCACGACTTTCTGTATACCAGGCGAGGTAGTTAACATCGCTTAGCCACCGTGGTGATGATGATGAGAGACACGCAGACTCCAAATATACAGCAGCAGGCGTCATGGTCGGGATCGAACCCATGACCTCCTGCATACCAGGCGAGGTAGTCAACGTCTCCTAGCCACCGTGGTGATGATGATGAGAGACGCGCAGACTCCAAATATACAGCAGCAGGCGTCAGGGTCGAGATCGGACCCATGACCTCCTGCACACCAGGCGAGGTAGTCAACATCTCCTAGCCACCGTGGCGCCCCTGCCAGCAACTTATTTTTGAGCTGCCGAGTTAACGTTCGGCTCTCCGATGCAGACTTACAGACGGCACACGGACGTTGTCTTCGTCGTCATCATTGCCAGTCAAGATCTGTCGAGGCTCGTGACAATGATGATGGTGAATGGAGTGCTCCCTGAGCCGCCCCGACCGCTCACCGTCTCGCAATGCAATCATGCGTCTGGTTCCTGCACACGAGCTGATTTCGTCGCTGCATCTGAATGCAGTGTTTGAGCGTGATATTGTGTGTGTGGTATTGTGTGTTGTTAAATGTTGCGTGCGATGCTGTGTGTTTCGGTGACACTGCATTTGTGGGTGACACTGTGTGTGTGTGAGTGACACTGTGTGTGAGTGGCACTGTGTGTGAGTGACACTGTGTGTGAGTGACACTGTGTGTGAGTGACACTGTATGTGTGAGTGACACTGTGCATGTGTGGGTGATGCTGTGCATGTGTGAGTGACACTGTGTGTGAGTGACACTGCATGTGTGAGTGACACTGTGCATGTGTGAGTGACACTGTGTGTGTGTGTGAGTGACACTGTGTGTGTGACACTGTGCGTGTGTGAGTGACACTGTGCATGTGAGTGACACTGTGCATGTGTGAGAAACACTGTGTGTGACACTGCGCGTGCGTGAGTGACACTGTGCATGTGTGGGTGACACTGTGCGTGTGTGGGTGACGCTGTGCGGCGTGGGTGACGCTGTGCGGCGTGGGTGACGCTGTGCATGTGTGAGAAACACTGTGTGTGACACTGTGTGTGTGTGTGACACTGTGCATGTGTGGGTGACGCTGTGTGGGTGACGCTGTGTGGCGTGGGTGAAGCTGTGCGGCGTGGGGGTGACACTGCGGCGTGGGTGACGCTGTGTGGGTGACGCTGTGTGGGTGACACTGTGTTGCGTGGGTGAAACTGTGCATGTGTGGGTGACGCTGTGTGGGTGTGGGTGACGATGTGTGGCGTGGGTGATGCTGTGCGGCGTGGGTGACGCTGTGCGGTGTGGGAGTGAGGCTGTGTGGGTGACGCTGTGTGGGTGACACTGTGTGGCGTGGGTGACGCTGTGTGGGTGACGCTGTGTGGGTGACACTGCGTGGGTGACACTGCGCATGTGTGAGTGACACTGTGCGGTGTGGGTGACGCTGTGTGGCGTGGGTGACGCTGTGTGGCGTGGGTGACACTGTGTGGCGTGGGTGACGCTGTGTGGGTGATGCTGTGTGAGTGACACTGTGCATGTGTGGGTGACACTGTGCATGTGTGGGTGACGCTGTGTGTGTGACACTGTGTGGTGTGTGTGACACTGTGTGGTGTGGGTGATGCTGTGCGGCGTGGGTGACGCTGTGCATGTGTGGGTGACGCTGTACGGCGTGGGTGCACTTTGGGTGTGGGTAACTGTGGGTGTGTGGGTAACACTGTAGGTGTGTGGGTGACGTCACCGCCACTTAGTGGCGAATGGCGGTTGTTGTTGTTGTTGTTGTGTGGGTGACGGAGGGCGGAGGAGCGATGCTCACAACAACGAGCGGAGCGCCGGGTGGCTAAAGCACAGCAGGTTGGCACAGTAGGGGGCACAGGTGGTGCATCAGCCAGTCATCTCAGTCAGTCGACCCGTGGCACCTGGGTCTGCCCCGTGACCTCCTGCCAGCGGGCGTTCGACACTTCACGTGGCCTCAAGGAGCACATAGCCTGGCACAAGCGTCGTGGTGACGTCACCGCCACTTAGCGGCGAATGGCGGTTGTTGTTATTGTTGTTTGTTGTTGTGTGGGTGACCGTGTGAGCGTGATTGCTGTGTGCACTCACGGCTGGGCGAGTTCTGCGATTTTGGGTGTCTTCCTCGCCGCTTGTGAGATTTCTCTCTCTTGATCTCCGGTCCCTCCCCTGGAAAGACATCACCATCACCTCATTCACCATCGCCGCCGCCGCCACTATCGCCACCATCACCACCAACAACAACAACATCACCACCACCACCACGACTGCCATCATCACAACCACCGCCACCACCAGCAACAGCACCACCCGATCATGACTACAAACACCATCACAACAACCACCACTACCACCATCATCTCATTCACCATCGCCACTTTCGCCACCATCACCACCAACAACAACATCACCACCACCAACAGCACTACCGTCAAGTGTTATAGCCCTTTCCCCGCGCTACCTCCGATAAGCACGGTTGGCTATGTACGGTGCGAAAGAAGTTCAACACAAGGGCGTACAAGCAGAACGCGTAATCCGTAAATGAGTAACGGACCTTTACTCGGTGTTCTCTTCATGTTTTGAGCTCTCGTGGCGAACACCTCTAGCGGACTGCGATGAGGAGGCACACCAAGACACACACAGAGAGGGGCACACAGAGAGATTCATGCAGAATTACACACACAAGCAGAAACACAGACACAAAGACACACACATAGAAACAGAGAGATACACAGAGACACACAGAGAGAGACATACAGAATACACACACACGCAAACAACAGACACAAAGACACACAGAGAAACAGACAGAGACACACAGTGAGACACAACGAGAGACACAGAGAGGCAGACAGAGACACAAAGAGAGACAGAGAGACACAGAAAGACACACACGCAGACACACAGAGACACGCACAGAGAGATAGAGACAGAGAGACACAGAAAGACACACACACATGCAGAGAGACACACAGAGACACAAACGGAAAGAGTCACAGAGAGACACACACAGGCACAAAGACACACAAAGGCAAACACACACACACACAGAGACACGCACAATCAGAATCGTTATTTAGAATGGAGGAAGAATCCGATGAGCTGTAAAGCTCTTCCTTGACAGACGTCCAGTCGGGGCACGGGGGTCAGCAAGTTACAACGCTACAAACTCAAGCGGTAGCGGTGCACAACAGAGAACGAAAACGACGTTAGTGAGCAAAGACGAATCAAGTCGAGTAACACCGGCGCTTCACGTGTTCCCGAAAAGGTTGCGACGACGAATATCGAAACGACGCGAATCAAAGCAGTTTCGCAATCAAGAGTATTCATTTATAGCGGAGGAATCTGAAGCGCTATAAAGCTCTTTTTCACAGGCGTCCACTGGGAGGGCCACAGGGTATGAACGTACAAAGACAAAACACACGATAGGAGTGTAAAGTATAGGAAAGGTAAACAAATCACATCAAATTATTTTTGTTTACAGATACAAATAAACAATTGTTTTATCTTACCAGCTAAAGCCCAATGATTGACAGGGCAGGTAGAGGCAAGGGCCATGGTGGCGAGGATGTGTTAACTACCTCGCCTGGTATACTGGAGGTCAAGGGTTCGATCCCGACCCTGACTCCTGCTGCTGTATAGTTGGAGTTTGCGTGTCTCTCTCTCATCATCATCACGGTGGCTAGGAGATGTTAACTACCTCGCCTGGTATACAGGAGGGCGTGGGTTCGATCACAACCCTGACTCCTGCAGCTGTATATTTGGAGTTTGCGTGTCTCTCTCTCTCATCATCATCACGGTGTCTAGGAGATGTTAACTACCTCACCTGGTCTACAGGAGTTCGTGGGTTCGATCCCAACCCTGACGCCTGCTGAATATTTGGAGTTTGCGTTTCTCTCTCTCTCATCATAATCACGGTGGCTAGGAGATGTTAACTACCACGCCTGGTATACAGGAGGTCGTGGGTTCGAGCCCAACCCTGACGCCTGCTGCTGTATATTTGGAGTGTTTTTGACAAATGTGTTTAAGGAGTCTTTACCATGTCTGTGCGTGCCACCGACTCCTCTGTCTCCAAACTAAAACCCATTGAAACATTTTGTATTTATTGTTACCAGGTGTAAGCGCCTCACTGAGCTACGTAGATCTATTATCATAAGTGACCTGTCCATCACAAATGATTGCTCAACGAAGTTGACTTAGCATCATCATCATCACGTGGACATTCATAGCGGCAGCGAAATGCTCTCTAAGCGTGCGACGACGATTCTAAATGTGGAGGGAAAACCATACGACCACGGGGAGAGAGACACGCAAACTTCAAATATACAGCAGCAGGCATCAGGGTCGGTATCGAGCCCATGACCTCCTCCATACCAGGCGAGGTAGTTAACATTTCATAGCCACCGTGATGATGATGATGAGAGAGACACGCAAAGTGGCACCAACGGTTGTGCGTTGGAGAATAAACCCACAACATTGACAATTTGATTACAGTGACGTGTCCGCTGGTTACAACTGTTACTCAAGTTGTAAAAGGTAGTGGATTTTACTCTCAAACGCACCAGAGTCCTGAAACAGTAACTAAAATTGGCACGCTTTTATTTACGTGGCAAAAACCTCACCGATTGGCTGCTGGTCGGGTGGTGGCGGGTTACACGACGCATCCAACCCAAACAAACTCACTTTATTGTCAAGGTAAGAAGATACGGGCGACGGTTTGCGGGAAATTGTTTTTTCGTTGTCGCAAAGATAACGGACACACGGGAGACCCGCGGATTGGCGTGAAGACAAAGAGTCGCATTGAGACTCCCAGACTTACAAAGATATCATTCATAGGCGAGCAGAGACCAGGAGAACCGCGTCAAGAACCACAGACTAGAACGACGCGTAAACTTGCATAGAGACCCAGACTTGCCGAGCAGAGAGACAAACTAGACGCAGAGGCCCCACAGATTCACATGGAAGAACGTAGTCACACAGAGACCCATACTCTCAGGCAGACCCACATACTCGCCCAAAGACCCATAGACTCACACATAGGAGACCAAAACACTCACACATAGGACCCATACGTAGACTCACACGTATAACCGGACTCACACATGGACTTATACACTCACAGAGACTCAAACACACTGGGAAACAGACACACAGAGACTAAAATAATCTCAGAGAACCAACATAGAGTTAGACTCAGAAAGACCAAGAAACTCAGAAAACAAAAGAATCACAAATAGAACCCAACTACTCACACAGAGACCCCAGCCACTCGCACAGAGAACCCAGCCACTCGTACAGAGAACCCAGTCACTCGTACAGAGAACCCAGTGACTCGCACAGAGAACCCAGCCACTCGTACAGAGAACCTAGCCACTCGTACAGAGAAGCCAGTCACTTGTACAGAGAACCCAGACACTCACACAGAGAACCCAGTCACTCGTACAGAGAACCCAGCCACTCGTACAGAGAACCCGGCCACTTGTACAGAGAACCAGGCCACTTGTACAGAGAACCCAGCCACTCGCACAGATAACCCGGCCACTCGTACAGAGAACCCAGCCACTCGCACAGAGAACCCAGCCACTCGTACAGAGAACCCAGCCACTCGTACAGAGAACCCAGTCACTTGTACAGAGAACCCAGTCACTCGTACAGAGAACCCAGTCACTCGTACAGAGAACCCAGCCACCCGAACAGAGAACCCAGCCACTCCTGCAGAGAACCCAGCCACTCGTACAGAGAACCCAGTCACTCGTACAGAGAATCCAGACACTCGTACAGAGAACCCAGCCACTCGTACAGAGGACGCAGTCACTCGTACAGAGAACCCAGTCACTCGTACAGAGAATCCAGTCACTCGCACAGAGAACCCAGACACTCGTACAGAGAACCCAGCCACTCGCACAGAGAACCCAAACACTCGTACAGAGAACCCAGTCACTCGTACAGAGAACCCAGTCACTCGTACTGAGAACCCAGCCACTCGTACAGAGAACCCAGTCACTCGTACAGATAACCCAGTCACTCGCACAGAGAACCCGGCCACTCGTACAGAGAACCCAGCCACTCGTACAGATAACCCAGTCACTCGTACTGAGAACCCAGCCACTCGTACAGAGAACCCAGCCACTCGTACAGAGAACACAGTCACTCGTACAGAGAACCCAGCCACTCGTACAGAGAACCCAGTCACTCGTACTGAGAACCCAGTCACTCGCACAGAGAACCCAGTCACTCGCACAGAGAACCCAGTCACTCGTACAGAGAACCCAGCCCCTTGTACAGAGAACCAGGCCACTTGTACAGAGAACCCAGCGACTCGTACAGAGAACCCAGTCACTCGCACAGAGAACCCAGTCACTTGTATAGAGAACCCAGCCACTCACACAGAGAACCCAGTCACTCGTACAAACAACCCAGTCACTCGCACAGAGAACCCAGCCACTCGTACAGAGAACCCAGTCACTCACACAGAGAACCCAGCCACTCGTACAGAGAACCCAGCCACTTGTACAGAGAACCCAGCCACTACTACAGAGAACCCAGCCACTCGTACAGAGAACCCAGCCACTCACACAGAGAACCCACTCACTCGTACAGAGAACCCAGTCACTCGTACAGAGAACCCAGTCACTCGCACAGAGAACCCAGTCACTCGTACAGCGAACCCAGCCACTCGTACAGAGAACCCAGCCACTCGTACAGAGAACCCAGCCACTCACACAGAGAACCCACTCACTCGTACAGAGAACCCAGTCACTCGTACTGAGAACCCAGTCACTCGTACAGAGAACCCAGTCACTCGTACAGAGAACCCAGTCACTCACACAGAGAACCCAGCGACTCGTACAGAGAACCCAGCCACTCATACAGAGAACCCAGTCACTCATACAGAGAACTCAGTCACTCGTACAGAGAACCCAGTCACTCGCACAGAGAACCCAGCGACTCGTACAGAGAACCCTGCCACTCACACAGAGAACCCAGTCACTCACACAGAGAACCCAGTCACTCACACAGAGAACCCAGACACTCGTACAGAGAACCCAGTCACTCACACAGAGAACCCAGCCACTCGTACAGAGAACCCAGCCACTCACACAGAGAACCCAGCGACTCGTACAGAGAACCCAGTCACTCATACAGAGAAACCAGTCACTCGTACAGAGAACTCAGTCACTCGTACAGAGAACCCAGCCAATCACACAGAGAACCCAGTCACTCACACAGAGAACCCAGTCACTCACACAGAGAACCCAGACACTCGTACAGAGAACCCAGCTACTCACACATAGAACCCAGTCACTCACACAGAGAACCCAGTCACTCACACAGAGAACCCAGACACTCGTACAGAGAACCCAGTCACTCACACAGAGAACCCAGTCACTCGTACAGAGAACCCAGCTACTCACAGAGAACCCAGCGACTCGTACAGAGAACCCAGTCACTCGTAGAGAGAACCCAGTCACTCACACAGATATCCCAGCGACTCGTACAGATAACCCAGTCACTCACACAGAGAACCCAGCCATTCGCACAGAGAACCCAGACACTCGTACAGAGAACACAGTCACTTGTACAGAGAACCCAGTCACTCGTACAGAGAACCCAGTCAATCGTACAGAGAACACAGCCACTCGTATAGAGAACCCAGTCACTCGTACAGAGAACCCAGACACTGGTACAGAGAACCCAGACACTCGTACAGAGAACGCAGTCACTCGTGTAGAGAACCCAGTCACTCGCATAGAGAACCCAGTCGCTCGCACAGAGAACCCAGTCACTCGTACAGAGAACGCAGCCACTGGCAAAGAGAACCCAGCCACTCGTACAGAGAACCCAGTCACTCGTACAGAGAACCCAGTCACTCGTACAGAGAACCCAGACACTCGTACAGAGAACCCAGTCACTCGTACAGAGAACCCAGCCACTTGCACAGAGAACCCAGTCACTCACACAGAGAACCCAGACACTCGTACAGATAACCCAGTCACTCGCACAGAGAACCCAGTCACTCGTACAGAGAACCCAGTCACTCGTACAGAGAACCCAGTCACTCGTACAGAGAACCCAGACACTCGTACAGAGAACCCAGTCACTCGTACAGAGAACCCAGCCACTCGCACAGAGAACCCAGTCACTCGTACAGAGAACCCAGTCACTCACACAGAGAACCCAGACACTCGTACAGAGAACCCAGTCACTCGCACAGAGAACCCAGTCACTCGTACAGAGATCCCAGTCACTCGTACAGAGAACCCAGCGACTCGTACAGAACCCAGCCACTCGTACAGAGAACCCAGCCACTCGTACAGAGAACCCAGCCACTCACACAGAGAACCCAGTCACTCACACAGAGAACCCAGTCACTCGTACAGAGAACCCAGTCACTCGTACAGAGAACCCAGCCACTCGTACAGAGAACCCAGCCACTCGTACAGAGAACCCAGCCACTCGTACTGAGAACCCAGTCACTCGTACTGAGAACCCAGTCACTCGTACAGAGAACCCAGCCACTCGTACAGAGAACCCAGTCACTCACAGAAAGGTCAGTCACTCGTACAGAGAACCCAGTCACTCGTACTGAGAACCCAGTCACTCGTACTGAGAACCCAGTCACTCACAGAAAACCCAGTGACTTGTACAGAGAACCCAGACACTCGTACTGAGAACCCAGTCACTCGTACAGAGAACCCAGTAACTCGCACAGAGAACCCAGTCACTCGCACAGAGAACCCAGTCACTCGTACAGAGAACCCAGACACTTGTACAGAGAACCCAGTCACTCGTACAGAGAACCCAGTCAATCACAGAAAACCCAGTCACTCGTACAGAGATCCCAGACACTTGTAGAGAGAACCCAGACACTTGTACAGAGAACCCAGTCACTCGTACAGAGAACCCAGACACTTGGATAGAGAACCCAGTCACTCATACAGAGAACCCAGTCACTCGTACTGAGAACCCAGTCACTCGTACAGAGAACCCAGCGACTCGCACAGAGAACCCAGTCACTCGTACTGAGAACCCAGCGACTCGTACAGAGAACCCAGTCACTCGTACAGAGAACCCAGCCACTCGCACAGAGAACCCAGTTACTCGTACAGAGAACCCAGTCACTCGTACAGAGAACCCAGACACTTGTACAGAGAACCCAGACACTCGTACAGAGAACCCAGTCACTCGTACTGAGAACGCAGTCACTCGTACAGAGAACCCAGCCACTCGTACAGAGAACCCAGTCACTCGTACAGAGAACCCAGTCACTCGTACAGAGAACCCAGTCACTCGTACAGAGAACCCAGTCACTCACAGAAAACCCAGTCACTCGCACAGAGCACCCAGTCACTCGTACAGAGAACTCAGTCACTTGTACAGAGAGCCCAGTCACTCGTACAGAGAACCCAGCCACTCGCACAGCGACCTAATCCACTCGCACAGCGACCTAATCCACTCGCACAGAGAGACCCACAGAAGTCACCACCAGCACCAGCACCACCAGCCCCGCTGGCACCACGACGAGGCAGGCCTGTGTTCTAGTCGAGGCCGCGCACTCGGCCCCAGCGCTCTCGGCCTCCGTGGCCTACCGACCCGGGGACTCCGTGCATCCGAAGCCCGCGGGAGGAGAGAGGTCCCCTCGGTGAGGGTGCGTGCGGTGAGCGTGGCTTTCGGGGGTGAGGAGAAGGGGGGTTGGTGTTGGTGTTGCGTCGGGTGAGCGTTCAACACAGCCGCGTTCGGACATTGCCAGCGAGCGAGGCGGCCGCGCTCACCTCCCTCCCTCCTGCTGCTGCTCAGCCTCAGCCGCCGCCTCCTCCTCCTCCGCCGCTGCTGCTGCTGCCTCTGCCGAGGCTGAGCGAGGGGAGGGGAGCGCGGGGTTGGGGGGGAGGGGCAGTCTTTGTGTTCGCGTGGTGCCCCCGCCCCCCTTACCCTGCCCCCGCCCCCCTTACCCTGCCCCCGCCCTCCCTTACCCTGCCCCCCAGCCATACACCAGCGCGCGCGCATCCTCCGCCAACCCCCCCCCCCCCCCCTATAGCGCCCTCCCCCCCTTACCGCCCTCACCCAAACACCCTCGCGCGCGCACACCCCCGCCCCTCACCCATCCACCCTCTCAACTCCGCCCCCTTTGCCCCCCTCCCCTCACCCAAACACCCCCCGCGCGCACCCCCCCCGCCCCCCTTACCCCCCCGCCCCCCTTACCCCCCCTCCCCCGCACAATCGCGCGCGCGCTTGCGCGCGCCCTCGTCCGGGTAGCAACGCGAGGCAGGGGGCCTGTGTTTTGGTTCCGGAGGTCTTGTGTGTGGGTGTGTGCGCGTGCAACGTTGCAGGGTGTGTCCGCGTGTACACACATACACACTTAACGGTATTAATTGGTTCCACGAAAATGATCGTGAATTGAAATAATCGAATATTAGGCAATGCATGCTTAGAGGGGCTAAATTTTTCTCCAAGTTGATCGGAAGTTAACACTTTTCACGCTAAGAACATAGTATTATAACATTTCAACACGCAGTTTTAATAAATACACGATATAAGAACATAAAAGTATTGATTTTAATAAATAATGAATAAACATAGCATAAAAAGGTGCACAAATTGAGCATGACATAAATATTCTTACCTTAGGCCAGTGGTTCTTAACCTTGTTGGAGGTACCGAACCCCACCAGTTTCATATGCGCATTCACCGAACCCCTCTTTAGTGAAAAATAAAATGTGATTTTTTTCAAATTCAAGACATATGTTTTTTACTGGTACACAAAATGAGCCGTGCATGAACATTACCTTGTTCAAAGAATAAAACCAACACAATGCATAAACTCACAACAAATTACATACCTGGAAATCAATGTGACTTCTGCTGTTGCCTTTGAGAGATCAGTTCAGATATGCGTGGCTTCACCTTGGCAAGTGCCACTCTCATGTCATTTTCACAGCAAAGTCTGTTCCTTTTCTTCGTTTTTATGTCCAGCATCCTCGAAAAGGATTGCTCACAAAGATATGTTGTAACAAATGGTATAAAAAAAATCCAGGGCTTTCTTAGCAATAACTGGATACTTGTTCATTTGTCGCCACCAAAACGTTGAGAGCGTTGTTGTTCTGAAGAGTTGCTGTTGAACCTGGCTCTGCTGAATTTCAATGATTTCGTCGAGGAATTCATCATTGACATCTGCTGTTTCAACAGCAAACGTGAACGGCTGTCTCACCCATGCTGGATATGACTCTCTTGTAGGGAAATATCCGTCGAGAGACTTTGCAAGCTCATCTAAGTGCGTGGCAATTGTTTGCTTCAGTTCCGTGGATACAGAAATATCTCCGATTCCAGACACATCTTCGATCTTACTTGCACAGTCGTCCAGAAGCGGGAAGTTTGCGAAGTTATTGTTCTCTGTTCGTCGTTTCCATAACGGTAGCTTTTTTTGAAAAGCCTTCAGGTGTTCTTCCGCTTCCATGATATTGACTACACCACCCTGCATCTGCTGATTGAGATGATTGAGAGCTGCGAATATATCAGCCATGTACGCTAAAATGAGAATGAACTCAGAATTTTTGAAGCAATCTGCATGGCAGTGTTGGTGCTCTTGCAAAAACAGGGCTAATTCCACACGCATGGCAAAAACACGATTCAGCACCTGTCCCCGGGATAACCACCGAATATTAGAATGGAGCAGAAGTACCTCAAATTCAGAGCCCATTTCTTTACACAGCTCACTGAAGATGCAGTGCCTCAGAGCACTTTTTCGCACATAGTTCACACATTCCACCACAGTTTTTAATACTTCTGTCATTTTTGGAGGTAAGGTTTTTGTTGCCAACGCATGCCTGTGCAGAATACAATGCGTCACAATGATGTGTGGTGCATCGGCCTTTACTAGCGCACCAAAACCAGACTTTCTTCCCAGCATGACTGGAGCTCCGTCCGTACAAACTGCAGAAACCATATCCCATGAAAGATTGTTGTCTCTGAAGAAGTCATCCACAAGCTTCTTCACATTGGCTGCCTTCGTTGTTGTTGTAAGAGGCTTACAAAATAAAAACTCTTCTTTTATCATGTCGTCTTTCACATAGCGTACAAAAACAGCAAGCTGGCTTAGATCAGAAACGTCTGTGGTTTCGTCGAGTTGAAGGCTGAATTTTGCCGGGCTTGAAATCAGATCCGCGACTACTTGAGCCAAGATGTCTTTACTCATGTCTTCTATTCTGTCACTGACGGTGTCATTTGAAAGGGGAATTTGGGATAATTTACCTTCGGCCGCTGTTCCGAGTATCAGATTCGCCATCTTTAATGCAGCTGGTTTCACAAGTGTTTCACCAATGGTGTGTGGCTTGCCCTGCTTTGCGATCAGGTAAGAAACTTCGTACGATGCTGTCAGGATCGGTTTGTTAACAGGTACAAATCCAAGAGCAGGCAGAGTGGCCCTTTCATCGAATCTGGCTCTCTTCACCCTGAATTCAGCAAGTGTTGTGTTCTTGTATTCCCCGTCTCCATGCAGCTTCAAGAAGTGTTCCCTTAGTTTTGCCGGTGCAAGACTAGAGTTGCTCAACTTGGCGTTGCAAATCATGCAGATAGGACGCTCACTCCCATCACGTTCCGTGATACATGAGAATCCATGTTGTACATATTCGTCCGACCACTTTCCTCTTTTGCCCGACATAGTTAGTATGGATAAAATATTAAAGAAATCACACGACGTACAACAACAACAGTCACACGTTGACTACTGAGTATGCACTAAATTCCCCGCAGCGCTGATTGGCCAAGCAGTGTAGCATGATCATCTGCAGCCTGTGATGGCCAAGCGGGCCGTGTGTGTCATCACAAATTTACACAATAATTCAAGTGTGTCCGGACCTCCGTGGCGGGGGCTCTGCCGAACCCCTGAGATCGACTCACCGAACCCCTGGGGTTCGATCGAACCCAGGTTAAGAACCACTGCCTTAGGCTAAGAAGATGGGTGGCTTAAGGGGTTCATTTTCACACTAATTGTTTTCCACACTTAGCTTTCTTCACATTAATTTTAGGGGCCATTGCCATTACCATTGACCTTATTTAATTGTTAAGTAAAAAAAAACCACGCACTAAGTATTCAAGAGAGCTGTTTCCATAAGCATCGTACGATCAGCAAACATTTGAAGAGGAGTTGGAGACTGGTTAGGCACTTCTTTATTCTTCAGACCACCGCCACGCTTGCTTTCTCAAACCAACCCGAGCACCCGTTTCACAGCCCCCGTTTAAATCCCCTATCTCAGCCCCACCTCCCAATCAACATCTCCGTCTCGCGCGCCGTTTGCTTGCGACGTCGGTGACCTTTAACCCTTGACCCCCGTCCAGTGGATTCCCCGTGCGTTTAACCTTTGACCCCCGCATAGTGTATTCCCGTGCGTGTGATTGGTGTGTGCTATGTTGGGTGCGGAGATTATGTGTCTGCGTGGTGCGAGTGTGTGAGGATGGCTCGGACATCCCCTACATCACCCCCCCCCCCCCCTCTTTAAGACAGAGCCGTCCTCGGCTCAAACAACTGTGTGCCTCGGCCGGTCAAACCCAAGCGCGGCTAGGCGCATGTCATTTCAACAAACAACAAAAATGTGCAATAAAGGCTAAAGTAACACAACAACACAATTCCACCATTGCCCCCTTGTCAATGCCGCTGTTACCGGAGGCATCGAAACCGAAACCGAAATTCTGTGCCGAAATTTGGCAAATGGTCTCTTTCGGCATAGTTTCGGTTTCGGCTGAAAGTCAATTTTTAACTTTCGGTCTGGTTACGTTTTCGGCCAAAACCAGAAATTCAGTTTCGGTTGACCTCCATCTGTCACAGACTTTACCCATGATCCGACCCCTTGACCGAACACTACAGGGTTCCAGGGATGTCCAGATCCACAGCTGCGACGAGGCGGCATGAGCGTGAGCGGGTTAAGGGTCTCCGTCCTGTGGCCAAGTTCTCGGCCGATGCTGCGGTTGCGTCTTCAGCCACGGACGCCAATGGATCAGGTGCTGGCATCTCTGTCACCTGTAGTCCTGCAGGATGGACAGTAGCTGCATTGCAAGTCGGTCGTGTAGCCGGCCGATAGTGTTACAACCTCCTCCCACCTGGCCGAAGTGACGATGAAGGTGGTGAAGGTGACGATGCTCATAGGGGCAGCTCGGCCGCGACGTAATGTTTTAGCCTAGAGGGGTGAACGTACCGCCTACGTTTGCCCAACTGAATTCGAACACATTGAGGTCGCAATACCTGCACCACTGTGACCGGGCCCTGCCAGAGCCGGTGCAGTTTCGCTGATGTACGTAACGGTACCTGCAGGGAGTGCAGCCAAGCCAGGTCACCCACCGCAAAGGGATCCGTGACCGGCGGCTTAGCCCGCAAGCGCTCGTTCCTAGCCTGCACAGAAGCGGATGCTGCCGAGGTTGCCTCGCGAGCCTCGCGCAAATACTTGAGCGAGTGGCGGAACGCAGCTGGCCAATCTCCCGACCGCGACGGGACAGGTCGCAACTGTGCCTCAATCGGAGGGCTCGGCTCGTGCCCATACATCAAGAAAAAGGGTGAGTATCCCATTGATGCATGCGGCGTCGAGCGATATGCTGTCAAAACCCCGGGGATGTTCAAATCCCAGTCCGTCTCCTGGTCATTCACCAAGTGACATAGCATCCCCGAGATCATGCGGTGAAAGCGTTCTACCATCCCATCTGTTTGTGGGTGTGGTAAGGGGACGTCCGCACCTTCTTGACACCCAGCATGTCACACACCTCCTGCAGAAGCTTGGAGGAAAAATGTCTGCCCTGGTCCATCAGCAGCCGCTCAGGAGCCCCCTTGTCAGCTACATACACATTTACAA